CGCCCGGCGGCCCCGCACCACGCACCGCAGGCAGCCTCCGGCCCGCGCTGGCCGCCTCCGAGGCGCCTGCCTTTGCCCGGTGCCCTGCAGCCTCCCAGCTCCACCCCAGCCCCAGCCCTGCGCTCTCGCCCTCCGCTCACTTCGTAGCAAGCAGCATGTTTTTCCTGGAGTGGAGATCGCTGGGGTCCGTGTGCTGTCTGTTCAGGTACTCAGACACCGCTTTGGCCGGGAACTCCGTTTCGCAGATGTACCCGAAGTCCCGAGCTAAATGAACCGCTTCACCTGGGGAGAGAGCAGAAAGCCCTGCGATCAGCAGAGGCCGGCGGGTGCCCTAGCGAGCCAGGCAGCGGGGAAGTGGAGCCAGCTCGCCCCAGAGCCCAGCGAAACCTGCTCCGGGTTATGCCCCCCAGCTCAGCCAGTCACGCTTGCTGGACACCAGCTGCTCTGGGCTGGAGGCAGGAGGGAGAGCTGTTCAAGGCAAGCAGGATCCGAAACTGCATTTCTTGCTCCTGTCTCCCCACTCTGCTGTGCAAGGGAAGGGGCCCTTTATGGGCCTGGCCGTCCGCTGGTGTAAATGGCCCTGGTTTTCCTGACTTCGGTGAAGCTGCAGCGATTAACACTTGCTGAGGATCTGGCCCTGGGCAAAGGGGTGCAAGAGGGCTGTGTAGAGGCTCACACAGGCTTTCGAGGCTGTGGGGGAGAGCGAGAGGAGCACTGACAGCTACAGGACCCCGTTTCAGTGAAGTAGAGAACTCAGATATACTTCAGCATACCAGGAAATGATCCCAAAAGTTAGCTTCTATATATAATTCTGCCCAGGTAGATGTATGCATGTATGTCTCATTGTATATACCACCTACATATACACATGGTATATGCGTACACACACACATTCTCATGTCTATGCATTTGACTTACACATAATTGCATTGCTATAATAATTCTATCTATATATGGATGCAGATTTAGATATAGATATATACTAGGTATATACATACCTGTGGACACACATCTATGTGCACTTTACATAGGTAGGGCTGTGTTATACACTTATATAAGTGTGAATATTATATACACACTTCTATGCAAGTATGCAGGTATATAAATTATATAGATATGCGTTCTCCATATACCCACAGATACCTATCTATTGTGTATACACACACACATATATGTATATGTATATATACTTATGTGTATATATATATGTGTGTGTGTATATACACGTACATATACGTGTGTATGTATATGCATGCACACACACATATACACATACACATGTATGTATAAGAACTAGACATTATAATCAAAATTGAATCCACCTCTTGTAAAATAAAGCAGACAAATGTACAGAGGTATAGTCCATCGCCATATATACACGTATATATGTGCGCCTATACATACACACACACACTCATGTCTATACGTTGTGCCTATCTATAATTACTTCATTATAATCATTATTCTATATACATAGATGTAGATATAGATACGTATTATAATATGTATATATATACACCTGGTAGGTATGTATATATACATATGCATCTATATACATATATACATATGTGTGTGCGTGTATACACACACACACACAATTATTTTACATTACTAGGTGTGTGTGTGATACACATATATGTGTGTATACTATGTGCATACTTTGAGGTAAGCATGTAGGTACTTACGTGATACAGATACATCATAAGTTACACACACACAGATGCACACACACGTGTATATAAGAACCAAACATTATAATCATCGTTGAATCCAACCCTTGTCAAATAAAAGAGACAAGTGCATATTCTCCAATGAAAACTGTTGCTTCTCCATCCGCTCCGATCATCGTGCAACAGAAACTCTCGGCTCTGTCCCTTCCCCACTTAAAAAAAAAAAAGGACTGATGAATGGGAACCCTTTCATATGAAAAATAATAATTATTTCGACTCTTAATGCTCATTGTCACTTCCTTTGCCTGCCTGGTTTCAGGTTTCTCCCCTCCAGAGGTTCATGTCATCAAACTCCCATTGATGTACTTTATACCACGCGAAGAAGAAGACACAGTAGCTGAAGAAAGGAGGGGAAGGGGTGGGGGGAAAAAAGCCCGGACTCTAGGGGGATTCCGTAATGTTACAGCTCAGCCCCTCCAGAATAAAGCACGGCCTGAGGGGCCAGAGGGAAGATTTCCACCACGCAAAACAGATCTGTCTAATCATCCCAGTGCCACATTACTTTTAACGATCAGGACTGACTTGAAAACGTCACAAAAGGGAGGAAAAAAAGGGAAAAAAGGAGAGGGGTGGGGAGGAGAGGGGTGGGCAGCCTTCTCCAGATCACCCAGCAGCCTCATCAAGCTGCCAGCCCAGTGCCCCAGTCCCCCTGGCCGAGTCTTCCCCACCGCCGGGTGCTGGACAGAGCCACCGCCCGCCCTGCCCTGTGCCGATCCCCACCAAAGACGAAGGGACTATCGATGCTAGAGGCAACACCTTTAAAAAAAAAAACCCTGCCTGTTGTCTGGAGCAGGGGAAGCCGGCAAGGTAAATTGTCGATGCGTCAGTCAATCAGAAGAGAGGGTTTGCAAGACAGCGAGGCATTTGCACGTGCCTCTGTGTGCGGTGGGCCAGGTCCTAGCATCTCGTGACTCGTGGAGGTGGGTCCCCCCCACTGCACAACGCGGCCTGCAACACTGCTCAGGGTGGAGGCAGGCATTTCCCATCGTTTTGGAACCCCCCCCCCCCCC